CCCCCCCCCCCCTCCCCCCTTTAAATGGACAGGACCAAGGGCCCTATTCCAGTTGAAGCCAGGGGCCCTTTAGCACAAAGTTACGCCATGCACTGCAGCCAGTTTTATTTTTAAGGACATTGATATAGGACTGCTATCTATATTGCTGATTTGATCAGTCCCCGAGTTTTATAACGCGTATTATAGTGCGTATCATTACTAGAGGAAGAGAAAACGCTATACATGCATGCTATATACATGCATACTGAGTCATGCATGTGTCACAATTTGGAGTTGCACGAGAGACCATGCCATGGTCTCTCATGCAACTCCAGTTTCACCATGCATGTTTAGAAAATGAGCATTGCTTAACAAGAGGATAGTTTTTGCTAACCCGGCCCTTTTTCCTAACAAACGTCTTCCTTGATGAACGGAAATGTGCATTTTTACCAAAATTTTCATATTGATTGTTTTATATACTAGTTCCCACTTGTTTTTCTAGCAAATGTTTGTTGTGTACGTACATGCTAATATAGTTATTTTATTAACTATTTCATATTATATATAAACTCTAAAATCAAAAGGGCATCTTTGTTCCCACTGCCCCTATTGGCAAAGAGTATAGCCACACCCCTCGTTCATGGCCCCCCCCCCCTGTGTGAATATTTATAGCAAACTATGGCAACATTCCGTCTATATTTCAATATTTATCGATCATAAAATAGCTTATATATATTATTCGTATGTTTTCTATAGGTTGACCAGGAGCGAAATAAGTTTGAACTCGACACTCTGAGTGGCTCGGGTACCTGGCCTAAACTAAAGCGTAGTTCAAGATCTCAGGACTCCAGTGTCAAAGAAGGTTCTTTGGAATATTTTGAACACATGAGACGTCAGCTTATTCCACGTTTAACTGCAAATGTTAAAGAAAAGGCTGTTATGTACGACAGAATACAGCAAGGAGCTAGCCGGGTAATGTTGACCAATCAGTGACGTGATCCACGTCACCACGTGTGATGAATTTATCATCTAAACAGCCACTTCAAAAAGGGTTGTCCTTTGCAAGCCTTAAACCTTAAACTCTAAGCGCGCAACGCTTAATGGGAGCACAAGTTTCAAGCTTAGTAGTTGAATATTGCCGCTATTTGTGAATGAATTGTTCTCGTAAGGAGATATTTACCATGTCTCTAAGAAATGGGCCCCATATATGATTTCTAAAATGATTAAATGATGCACCCATTATGCTTTGTACGCTTAGAGTTTAAGGTTTAAGGACAACCTTTTTTGAATTAGCTGCATATGATGCTGGCTAAAATGTTTTCTACACAATATTATTGATATGATTGTTATATATTACTTAAAGTAAATAAAAAAAATATAATTTTGATTGAAAACGTTAAAAACGATCCTAGTTAAAAAGCATAAAAATACTCGTGACTCATCATTCTCGCTGTTATCATCTCTGTGTTTTTTTTCTACAGTGCTTATATTCATGGCGATTACATGGCCCACAACTGCTTCAGTTTTGCCCTACTTGGTAGTTGTCTTATCCATAATATTCTTTTTCTGTGTTTTAGGATAAGAGACATAGTGAAGAACGATCACGTTCTTTCTACATCCCCAAATCAGAAGATGGTCAGCTGACTGGGAAAACGGCTAAAAGGGCGCACAGTGTTGGTGTCTTAAATAGGAAACGAGATCACACACCAACTAATGAATATAAAGTTCCGTTGTACACTGGTTCAATCACCAGGCGAACTCCTGCTAAAGTAAGTCAATCAAATATCCCGAAGGAACCAGCAATACATTATTCACAAGAACCAGTCAAGACTAACCGTACTGAACGATCTTTTCAATATGATACTAAGCCAATAATAAAAGGCAAAGCACCATCTTCACATTCTGCAGTTCGTGGACGTAGCAAAAATAAGAAAGATAGTGACTACGTGTCAGTGAGAGCTTTAATAACACAGTGGTCAGGTCCAGATGCAAAGAGAGATATACAAAGTCAACCGATTCAGCAAGAAAAATATAAAAATAGACGTTCACTCCCAGCTAATTTTGATGCAAGTGATATATTATCAGAGAGGAAGGAATTGCCTCATTCAAAATCTGTAGCAGAGGCTGTGCATTACAAGAGCCAACGAAATTACATATCCACGTCAGACTGGTCACTGGATGCCCGTTCACCTTCTGTGAGAAATCGTGGTTTACCCGATAGAAAGCAGGATTATGTCGTGGAGAATCGTACGAGAAGAAAGTCGGAACCATCGACGTACTCTAGTAGAGAATATGGTCCTGCATTAATTGAAAGAAATAGATCTTCTTCAATGAAAAATAAGGATGATTCCAACAATCGTGATTTTAAGGATAAAGCAAGAGAAAGTATAATTAAAAAATCTGAAACTACACAAGACATGTATGCTGCAATTCCATATGCTCAGCAACAGAAACCTCAAAAGGAAAAGGAAAGAGATATGAAAAGCAAGGACCATTATTCAGAACATCCTGTTAAGAGTAGGAAGTCATTTCCCTTGATTCAAAAGGCTGAAGTAAAACATGTTGCGAATTATGTGGATCAAAAGTTCTATCAACCTAAGAATGGTGCCTCTGTTGATAGACGGAAGCTGGAATCAATTAGTAAATACGCTACAATGCCTGCGAGACGGACAAAGGTATCTCGTGACGAGCTTATCGGTGGGAAGAATGAAAGAGAAGGAGAAAGAGAAAAGGTTACTGATGTTAATTGGGATAAGATGAATCGGAAAGTAGATGAAAAATCTGAAAAAGCAATTAAACATATTCCAAAAAGGTCTTCAAGTGAAAGAGGTTCATCGCCTCATCGTCGACTACCAACTTATGAAGAAGCCATTGTACCTTTGCAAGAAACAGACCTTGTGGATGCAGCAAAGAAAAGTGAAATCGATAACAAAGACTACGTGTCGGTAGAACTTCTACAACAAAAACGTGCGAGAAATAAAGGTAAACCATCTACCGTAACAGCAAAAGGACATGATTATTTAACACAAAAACCAACAGTAAATGAATATATTTCCAAACAACATGTAACACACGCTTCTGAGTTAGTTCAACCGAATTTACCATCTAAGGATGCAACTAGAAACTATGAAGTGACACCTAAGCGCCGTTATTCGCAGGAAAGAAGTAAAGATTTTCCTTCTGTAAAACAGACTGCTGCTTCCACAAATAAATCAATGGGAACATCGGAATTTGATGCCAGGAAAGCGTCTAGTGAAAAGACACCACATCAAAACGAAAGTGATGTATACGTTAAGGACGTGAACAATAATCAATTACCTGTCTACGATGGAAAGGCATTGAAAACTTTGTTGACATCACCGCAGCAACGAAGTAGCAAGAATTATTCAACTAGAAAGAGTTTTGAAAAAGATAACCAAAGTAGCATAACCAAAGTAGCCGATCCTGTCAGTAAAATCACAAAGCCTAAAAAAGAAAATCAGGACATTTTGAACGAGTACGAACATTTGAGAGAGGAACAAAAAACAATTCTTGATGCAGATTTTAAAGATCGCAGTAGACTGACTCGCATGGATCCAAATGTAGCACAACAGTTTACAAGCCAAGGTGGTGTCAGTTTCTCCAATGTTGTTCACGAGGGCGAACTGTTGCAACTGGTTGCGGCTGAAGAAAAATACTGGAAAGACAAGATTGAAAGGAAAGACAAGGTTGAAAGGAAAGAAACGTCAGCAAAACAAAAGGAGATAAAGAAAGTTGGAAACGAGAAACAAGAACGTGTTAATGAAATGCTACAGGAGTTTAAGAAGCATGACCAGAGAGGGAAGATTGATTATTCCGAGATAACGGACACTTTGCGTGCTGAGGAAGAGTTTCTTGCCCAAGAAGCTGAAAAATTGTTAAAGCAAAGATTTCAAGAAAAGGCAGCAATCAAACCAACATTAACAACAAGGGATCCGCAATTTGATGGCAAGGAACATTATAATGATAGCACAAAACCTAAGAGTCCTGTTGAAGGAACCTCCCCTGGTTTACATTCAATTCTTAAACCAAGTTCTCGGCAGAAAAAGCCTCCAAGTGTTACCAGTTCTGACGACATTAATTTAAAACCAGAAGCAGATCAAGCTTATTATCACAATCATCCTAAGAGAATTCTACATTCTAGGTCCCCTGTGTACATCTGCAGTGGTTGTCGCTTGCCTGTAGAGCGAGATATTTGTTTGTATGTAGCTGAACTACAATCATATTGGCATGAAAAGTGCTTCCGTTGCTCAGTCTGTCATTCTAATTTGATCCAAAATGAACAAACGCCGAAAATTCGCGTCATGTTTTCTCGAATTCATTGTGAAAATTGTCTCAGCAACAAGAAAACAGGTGAGTTCACGTTATGATACTAAAAAGAATTTATAAGGTAACGGACATGGAGCGGCACTACTAATTTTGCACCTGTATTGATTGTTTTCGAACGAAGTGATAAGGTTACTTACCATCCTGGCACAGAATAGAAACTTTACAGAAGGCCAACTTCTTCGTTTTTGCCTATGATTTTGGCGTGACCATTGCAATGCTGTCGCCATGTTCCTAGACAGTGTGCTTATGAGAGGCATTCACCCCCTGTTAATAGAGCATGGTTAATGGAACTGAGATAGTGATATGTTTGGTTAGCTGGACCCATTGAACTATAAATAAACTGGAAGGCTAACTCAGGGGGGGAAATTGAAGCCAGTGCATTTTAGTTTTTCTGAGTTATGAGCAGAAATACTCAACACTGAACGTTGGGCTATATATCAAATTGAAGCTATTAAAAAAACGCTATTTGG